TTCTAAAATTGCTCTTGTGCTGTAAATGTAGTGATTTGTGCATGTTCTATGTTTTGTCTGCATGATCTGTATTATTGATTTAAATTTTTTTTTAAGTCGATTTTAAAAGCTCACTAGAGCTTATGTTCTACTGTTGTTTTTATCGATTATAAATAAACATTACTTGACTTGAGGATTGTTGTTTTAATGGGGTTAAAAGCAAAGATACAATATGGGAGATTAGATAAAGAGCTGGCAGTTCTCACTCTAATAGTTAAAAACTAGATAATGCAAAGGGAATTTGTTGTAAATTTCAGTCACATTGATCCACTCTGAACCGGGATTTTAGTCATTGAATTTTTGGCCTAGCCTCGATCATCATTACTAAAGTCGGTACGATAAAAAAAACATAGTCTCGATTATCCATTTTATGATTAAATCATGAATGAAAGTTGAGCAGCGAATCGTATCATAATCCAATAAATATCGCAGGCTAGCGTTGACACCGAGAGTTGATTATGGTCTAGATAAGTTAATTAATGTCTAATTAATAATATAGATAACATTTCAGGCCCAAAGAAAGAACTGCAATAGGCAGATTTAGCTCTTGCATAATGTATGTTTAATTAACCATTTTTGCGACCAAATATTTAGGGTATTTAAATCATGGTTTAGAGATAATTCTATATCATTTACCGTTTTCCCATTGCAACCTAAATATGTATCATCGGCAAATAATCGTGCTATGTTTGTCAGTGTATCTTGGATGTCATTTATATAGATTAAGAAAAGGATAGGTCCCAAAACGGAACCCTGGGGAATTCTTAACATTAGAGTCGTTTCGTATGATATGTTACTGATACAGCTTGATAACCACTTAAGACACAGGTCATCAATATCGTAGGTTTTTAGTTTATGTATTAGGCCTCTGTGATATACGCGATCAAAGGCTTTAGAGATATCAATGAAAACGTAGCGGGACAATCTGTGGTCCTGAAACGTAGTTACGACACCATTTATTTCAAGAAGTTGATGAACCGTATAGAAGGTTTTTCGACTGAAAGAAAAGAAATGGGGTTTAACGTCCTGCTGTCCTGCTCCGTGCTGGGCTAATGAAGACGGGCATGCGCCATACAGTGTGCTATGAGGAATATTTTTCCCGGACAGCGGCACTACGACCTACTCTTATATCGAATTCCCACTGCCATGGTATCTTTTACTCGCACGCCAATGTGTACACGGGACCTCGGTTTTTCGTCCCATCCGCACGACTGGACAGCCCTCCGTCCTGCATCACTGACAAGTGGGAACCACGCCGGAAACCCTGGATGAACTGTCTCGGCCAATGCAGGGAACGAACAGCCGACCTCCAGGCTTGCGATCCAGGGTCCTACCGTGACTCCCTCGACTGAAAGAAGTTTTATAGATGTTTGAATATTATACGTTCGAGAAGCTTACTAACAGTGCTAAAAAAGAGAAATGGGTGTGTAGTTTGATGGAAAACACATAGGTCGCCGGGGCAGAAAATATTTCCTCGTTGATGGACTTGTTGAAAAGAATAGTCAAGGGAACACATCGAATTAATAGTGTGTTTAAGTTAAATGTGACTAATCCTATTAGCATTAGTTCAGACTAATTGATAGAGGAAATGAACACAGGGTTCTAGAATTAAAATTTGGAAGGCCTTCTCCGGTTTTGTTATGGGCAACAGACCAAATGCAATTGTTTAGCGTTTGTGCTTTATCAAAGTTTGAGTGTGCAAAGCTTCCGTCTACTTTCTGTAGTGAAAGGATATTTTAAATTTATTTCTTTTCAACAACTGGTTCATACAATTTTGAAATTGTTAACTTTGTTGCGTTGATCTTTATATTTCAATGACATTTGGATAACTTACAAGTGAATGAGTATTTCTTTCACATAGCTATATGTCTATATTAAGATCGAATTAACTCAGCGTTTGTTCAAATATCGGTTGTTTATTTCTTCTGCCCGATTTGGTGGGTGACAACAGAGTGTCCTTTTGAATTTATCAATAAAAGTATTTTGCTTGGCATTTATAAATTAATCTATCGTGCTTAAATGTCGCTGAAGTCGAGTAAAATTTGTTTCGAAATAAAATTTTCCATGCGAATATTACTATGAGAGTAGACCATCCCTATTTTTGATCAGCAAATTGCTCTGAATAGTTAATTTGAAATTGACTGTTTTAAGATGAGAGACGTGTAGTGTGACGTCACACTATAAGTTGTGCTTTCTGTATAAGTTAGTGTGGTTATTCTCCACAAATGATTACAAACATGTTCAGCGTTACAAATACTAATGGCGTGACATCATGTCAGCCAGACTCAATATCACATGATTATTAATACATAATGAAATCTGTGAAATAATATCGAAGTAGACTTAGGGCGCATGAGTAAATGCGTTGTACATACAAGTTTCAAGTAATTGTCATCGAGTTCGCGTTGACCGTGTCAGGATATTTGGTTACGTTTTGCAGCTTTTAAAGGTTGTTCATCAATATCAACACGAATTACCTCTTTATGCCCCTCAATAAAAATCTTCTCATTTGCAAACCAAGCATTCTTAATACTAGAATGAGCATTCGTTTTGGTTAGTAATTAAACATTTCTGAAGGTCATTATATGATCAGATATTGAGACACCTGAATGCTTTAATTGTTTCCTGTTTGTGATCTCCTCTAAGAATTCTAACTATAATACCTCGCGGTCTAAGTTTCACCTCTCTATCATTATTAGCCGGCTTAACAATTCCAACGCGATGTGCCGCATCGACAATAATGTCTTCCTGGATGTTTAATTTATCTTTAAAAATCCGTTGGGCAATTTCAACGCAATTTTCCCCAGTATTTTCCTCGACTTCAATACTCGTTCTTCAAATTTATCAAGTTCAAATCGCACTCATTGCCTTCCTTAAATCAACCTCTAATTTGTGCGCAACGGCTACAGTTTTATTCACAATTCCAATAAGAATCTCGTTTTATCTATAGAAAAGGTTCTTCATTACCTTGATTAGTGTTCTCCAACATGTCTATATGTCGTTTCTTTACAACAGGTGAATCTATACGATGTGCTTGATCAGGCCTCACCAGATGGGACGGGGGGTGGGGGGAGTCTATGGGGCCATTGAATATCAAAGTTCAAATTGAAATGGGCAATTATGTATGAATTTTTTATTGTTCCGTTGAAGCTTAAAGTAGCTAAGTCTCTAACTCAATGTCATCAAAAATCTTCGACATTGAAAACACGAATTATTTGTCAATTCAAATCAACATTGGTCTTGTGATCTTACAGGGAAAAGATGGGCTTCTGATATCCAATATTCAAGACAAAATAAACATTTTACCATTGGTACACGAATCGTGTACCATAATGCGTTTCAGCGCCACAAGTCATGTCAAATGGTGACGCTATATTCTTATCTGGAGAGCATGCGCAATAAATACCATTGGTGTAGACTGGAAAACTAGACGCTAAAGATTGCCATTCACATGAGACTTATGGCGTATTTCGAGGAACATAACTGATTAGAAATTACAGTAAAAACAGAAACGATTGAATGTAAATCAGTTTATATACATTCATATTGCATTATTATATACGTTGCGACCCATTTTTGTCAATTTCTAGGTCCCAAATATTTGCGATTTCGCTCCTGTAAATAAGTATGTACAAAAGTTTTCGCTTTATCGCAATCTGCTTAATCAAATCCCCGCTTAAACGCAATTTATCCCGAGAAGAATGTTGCTTTTAACCCTTGGTAACCGATCAATGTTTCAGGTTCTTAATGACTGTATACCGATCGACGACAGAAGACATGACACACATCTCCTTCATTGTATTAAGTTATACTAACTGATTCCTCAAGTCCAAGGGTCCTCTTTCCGTATTCATAATTGGTTCGTGTTGAGAAACTACATGGTGATTCTGCCTTTTTAAAACAATTTACACATTATAATTAAAGATTACTAGACTATTGTTTAAATCCATCCTAGTTTACAATTGTTCATTAGATGCCATTGCGAATATTAGTTCGTCTAAAAAGAGAAAACTATAGAGGAGACATCTTCGTGGCTTACACAATCCGCCATCTTGACTCAATTTGAATAACCCTTCATCTAATTCCAACTGTCAAGGTTTCTTTTGCGTGCACGCCAACGCCTACACGGGACCGACCTCAGTTTTTCGTCCCAACGAACGACAAGAAACCCTTATTTTGCTTAAATAGATCATAGGGCCTGTTAATATTGAGTCAATTAAGTGGTGTGGTTTTTATTCAAGACGTGTAAGGCCATACGCACAAGCGAATTATTGAATTAAGATTATACCATTATACTATAATGTTGTTCCCGAAGGTATCTAGTTTGGGTTAAGTGGACGTTGACCAGAAAAGTAAAAAAATGCAAGATAACCGCAAATCATTTTCGGCGAAAACAAAAGGCATATACCGGTACTCTAAAACCCAACTACGATAAAAATAATGATCTATCTAACTGATCTCTGTGTTGTTACTGTAGCCGGGGAGGGGAAGGGGGGCCGAATGGTTAGCACGCGCGCTGTATCTATCATTGAGTCAACTGGCGGGGTTTCGATTCCCTGGCTGTACGTGACAAGGAGTAGGGACGATCGCCTGTCCAACCTCGTGGGTTTTCTCCGGGTCCTCCGGTTTCCTCCCACTGCTAAAGACCCCTACGCGAAAGCGAATTATTGAAATAAAATGGAACCATGTGTTAGTCCCGAAATGACCTAGTTTGTGTCTAATGGACGTTAAACCCCATTTCTCTCTCTCTCTGTTACTGTAGCCACTTTTCTTAGTCCAAAACCAATCCGCGAATTTTACATGTTGTCTGGTTGTGAATTTTTTTCTGAACTAGGCCCAGATTTTATTAATGTCATACATAACAGCCGATTGATTTGTAAAGAGGGTTTAGTTCCTCGGTGTATTATTTGTTTGTACTATAAAGATCACAGTCGTTTCAGTAAAAAAAATATTTTAACAGTTATTTAACCATCAGGCCTGTTAACAAAGTCTACGACCTCCAAATTCGTCTGTCTTGTGGCGAAAGCCACGTACTAATATTGATGAATGTAAATAGTCATCAGGATACAACAAGGTCTTTATTTTGCTTGTCATAAAATTGTCAGCAAAATGACAACCTTTGATCCAACGGGTAAAGATAAATAATGCTCCCTTACAAGGGCTGTCGTGTCTTATTGTTGGGTTTATTGCTACCAAAAAGAACCGCAAAGAATATCAAGGATACAGACCACAATTGATTTATTTTACCAATACTAAAGCGTTTTCACTGTGTTGTAAATTACTTTTAGGTTTTATTTTAAAAGCAATATAATAACAATGTATGTGGATAGTTTTTGAAATGTGGTTTAACTCCACAAAAGTAACAAACCATGTTAGGGCCATATTTAAAAAAAATAATAACATAAACCGAAAGAATATGTCCCAGGTCTATAATAAGGCGTATCTTTGATATGTAATTTTATTTTTATATCCAAACTTGTTTTCTGCCACATTTGTCCATGGTTAACTTCATGGACCTTATAATACATATATTATATAAGGTCCATGACTAAATGCTTTCCAGCAAAACAAAGCAAACTGATTTTAATCAATAAAACGGATGTTATTGCTGTAATGGCATCTTTTCCTTCGATATAATTAAAGATACTGAACCTGCTCAAATGATATCAAATAGTTCATCAAATTAATAGTTTCGAGAAAATATTGTTAGGCCAATAGAGCACTTTGCTCCATTCTATTAGTAAGTGCAGGAGGACTGTATTACACACAAAACAAAATCGACAAGACAAACCTGCAGACAAGACAAACTACATAGACATTGTAAGAAAATAAACAACAAATATCAAATCAAGTGAATGTTAATTTTTAAATTATTATACAAGAAGGTTTAAATGAATTACCAGTACTCTATTTAATCTCTTTCAGAACATCAGCATATTCGATATAATCCATTAAAAGCTGAATGGGTCTTAGTTTCCCCACATCGTGCCAAAAGACCATGGAAAGGTCAGGTAGAGAAACTACCAGAAGATAATATACCTAGAAAAGACAGTAGTAATCCATTATGCCCTGGTTCCACAAGATCAAATGGAGAGGTCAGACGAAAGATAAATTCATTTAAGTTCCAAACCATTGTGAAATTGAATCCTATTCAAAATTAGCCTCAGATACATTTAATAAATCATGTTAAATTCTGTACTTTATATCCTCCTGGTAACTTATAACATAATAAGAAACAAAATTGAACGACAAAAGATATTTTACATTTTAAAACAGGACGGTAAAATGCTATGTATCATAAAAAGAAAATTTTGATGATGTTAACTATGTTTTATGCAGGTTAATCCAGAATATGAAGGAACATTTGTATTTAAGAATGATTTTGAAGCCTTACTACAAGATGGGCCCCCACCAGGTATAACATGTGATGTAGTATAAATTGACACACACATATAAACACAATTATAATTTGAATATTTTTATATTAACTTAAAGTCTCTGATTGTCATTTGAGGGATTTTTAATCTGTTGAAAATTGCAGTATTGTGAAAGTCAATTCTCGAAATCAGCCCAGAAATGGTTCAATTCCTTCAGTATTTAGAAAGATCTGAGAATTGTCAACATTTCGCATCAATTGAAGACAAAATATATGATATAGTCCACAAGTCATTGCCACCATTAATTTTTCACTGATTCTTCGGAGCCACGGTGGCTAAGTGAGTAAGATGCTGGCTCACTAGCTGGCACCCCTTGTCAGTGGTGCAGGACAGAGGGCCTGACAAGGACAGCTGTCTAGTCGTTCGGATGGGACAGAAAGCTGAGGTCACATGTACACATTGACGTGCACGTAAAAGATCCCTTGGCAGTTGGAATTCGATATAAGAGTAGGCCGTAGAGCCACTGTCAGGGCAAAATTTCCTTTATAGCAAACTGTGTGGTGTATGCCTGTCTTCATTATGACATTAGCCCAGTCGGAGCAGAACAGTAGGACGTTAAAATCTCATTTCATTTCACTGAGCCTTTTATTAATCCGATTGAATCTGATTTATTCAGACAACTTTAATATGTGAGGTGTATTTTCCCCAAAACAAATTATGCACTTCTATTTTGTATATTTTAGAGAAAAGTGACGATCTATTATTTCAAGCTGCACCAGCCTATGGAACATGTAAAGTCATGTGTTTCCATCCCTGGTCAGACATGACGTTACCTATAATGCAAGATAAAGAAGTTAGGGCAGTAGTTGATAAATGGGCAGAAATAAATCAAGAACTTGGCCAAAAATTTCTATGGGTGCAGGTGATTATTTTTAGATCTTAAAAATATTTTTGACTAATTACTGTTCAACAAAACAGATCATTGTTTATAATGCTTTTAGTTTCCAATTAAAAGGAAGGGAGGTAACTCCAGTTAAGGGATTTACATTATAATGTTGATGCATTTTATCTTTTAGCTATTTGAAAACAGAGGTGCTATGATGGGATGTTCTAATCCACATCCTCATTGTCAGGTAAAAGAGATATTTTTTTTGGGAAAAAACCCCCAACTCATCTCGGCTTAATGGGCTTGATTAATAATAACAGTTCTTTGATGTATGATGCTAGAACAACAAGATTTCACAAGTCGTTTTCAAGCAAATATCTAAGGTACAAATGGTGTATTCCCACAAGGGCGACGTTACAGTGCGTGACCAAAATTAATCCTTCCCACGGAGGCGCAGATATGGACTTGTTGGCTTTCGTTTGAAGAGAGGCATGTTGTTATTAGGACCCAATTAACGGTGTTAAAGATTTTATGAATTTATGTTGACTCTGAATTTTATTGACCAATTGACAACTAATGATGAAAATCATCATATCAGCCAAGTATTCAACATAAATCTTAATCACCAAGAGACATAAATTTGCCCAAATCCAAAGCCAGCTCCAGGAATTAAAAAGTAGACACAAAGAAGAGGAATTAACTTTAGTTGAGTATTTAGACAGGGTGTCTTATTTAGGGAAATTAAATTAATTTGTTTTTATTTCTTAAAGTCATATTCCAAACATGTTAAAATGTTAGTTAATTAGTCACATTGGGGATTGTGAAAGTGTAAATTCTTATCATAACAATCTATAACTCCATTGTTACATTTTAATCCATTTTAATCCCTGAAAGCTGGATTCCCACGAAGGCGTCGAAAACGACCTCCTTTAATCCGTTATGGTCAATAACTGCGCCTTCGTGGGAATAAACTGTACAAATGAAGCATTACGTATTTGCTTAAAAATGACTTCTAGTATTATATCATAAATCAATTGTTAAATGCCTCTCGAGGATTATCCTTGGATTGTTGAGATTACTGTTGATATACAGAACTATCACTGTTTAAGATTACTTTTTGTGCCATTGGGATTCACATCCTAAGTATATAATTCAAATTTCAATTGAACAGGTTTGGGCAAGTTCCTTTCTTCCAAATGAGTTAGCAGTTAAAGACAGAACACAGAAAGAATTCTATGATAAATATAAGAAACCAATGTTAGTTGATTATACAGAAAAAGAATTAAGTAAAAAGGTAAGAAGTTTACATAAAGTGTGTCTAATCCTAACATGATGAGTATGAAGGGCTGTGTCAGTTGTTAGTTGCATAATGAACCTGTAGCAAGCAGAGATTTGGTAATGCCCTGGCAAATGCTTTGATTGAATACAAGACTCTACTATATGGTCTAGTACAGAGAAATATGAGAAAGAAAGACATTTTAATTATGTAAAAACCAGCTTGGGGAACACTAGGGCAGATTGTACAACATAGTTAACAGTGCTCAATTCAAATTTAAAAAATCTTAAGTTCAATTTTACTCTATAATTGCCCCCCCCCCCCCCCACCCCCACACTCCCCTTTACCAGATTTAAAGATGGGTTCCCAGAAAAGTATTTATCGGGGGGGGGGGGGTTATTTCCAATAAAAGTATGGCAATTTTGGTATATATGGAAAGTAGAGATATCCAATGTTACTAGAAAAATACTGGATTCCACGAAAAACACTAATGGAGCGTATACAGGACAAAAATGTAAGGGTTCCCCTAATCGACAGCTCGATGATTAGGAATTTCTACACGCGTGATGTCAAAGGTCACACGTGAACATTAAGCGCTTGATGTACAAGTTGATAAACTTTATGAAGAGTTAAACGTACAACACTTTCTGAGATAAAAATGATGGAAAAAGACGCGGGTAGTGGATAATCCTAGAATTTAATTAGTATTTGATATTTGTAGTAAATAGTAAGCGATTAAGACAACATCGTCTTATGTATACAATGAATTCTCCTCTGACTTCCAAGAGAGGTAAGTCACGTGACGTAAACATGACCTGGTTTGATTGAATTTTTATAGCAGGGCATTCCTTCGCAATTACAATGTTTGAGAAGGATTTGAGGCAAAATTATGACAAATTAATTAATTTAAATATGTTTTTAGTCCATATATACCATTAAATCACCCAGTTTGTAAGTGGGAATGTATCTTTAAGGTAAATTAAAGTTAATTAATCAATATTGTGTAGATATTTAGAACAGGTATTCAATATGTTTTGATTTTGGTTTGTTTTTATCAGGAACGTGTTGTTATAGAAAGCAAGCATTGGGTTTGGTTAGTACCCTATTGGGCTGTTTGGCCGTATGAAACTATGTTATTACCAAAGAGGCATGTTTTACGTTTAGAAGATTTAAATGATGAAGAAAGAGATGGTAAGCATTCTTAAAAAGCAGTCACCCAGAATGAATAAAAGAGATTGGAAGAATCTTAGAAACGTTTATCCAAGTTGTGTGTAGCTGTATGATGCTGTGTAATAATTTTTCAAAGAAATACAGACTCTGTTTTTTGGGGGGTTAGCCATAACTTTCTATTCGATATTCTGTCAACACAACTCTGGCAACACAGAGGTGGGTTGTGTGGCCAAACGGTTGCATAACACGTGCGCGTTGGATCAGAAGGTCTGTCATGTGGTATGGTTTCGATTCCCCTTTTGTACGTGACAAGGAGTAGGGAGGGTCACCTGTCCAACTTCGTGTGTTTTCTCCAGGTCCTCTGGTTTACTCCCACTGCTAAAGACCCCTACGTGCAAGAGAATTATTGAACCATATGTTTGTCCCGAAATGACCTAATTTGTGTTGAGTGGAGGTTACACCCCATTTCTCTCTCTGTCCCTCTCTCTGTCTCGCTCTCTCTCTCTCTCTCTCTCTCTCTCTTATATTTCAACATTTTCTCTGAAATTTAAATTTTAAGGATACCCATTTTGGAAAACAAATCCACAAATTTGATTAAATCAATGCTTTTATATTAAACCCACATCATGGAGGTTTCATCATTTTAAGGATAGCCTATATTATTGTGCACAAATATTTATTGGAAATTGAAGTCCTAAACATATTTTTTTTTAATTTAAATTTTTTTCTCAGATTTATGTATAATAATGAAGAAATTATTATCAAAATATGATAATATGTTTGAGATATCTTTTCCGTATTCTATGGGATGGCATGGTAGGTTGTTTTGTTTTTAAACCTATTTCTTTATTCCCAATTTGATTAAAATAAAGCTTCATTCTGAGTGTGTTTTAAATAATTGTATAGATTATGAAGGAGAAGGTAGCATAGCCTGCTTAACCTCGTGGGCTTCACTGACTACTCCGCTTACCTCCCTGCTAAAGACCCTGACCGGAAAGCAAAATATTTAAAAAAAAGTTGTACCATATGTTAGTTTATGTTTAGTGGAGGTTAACTCTCCCTCTCGGGGTGAGGGATGCGGATGGCCGAATGGTTAACGTGTGCGCGCTTTGTATTATAAGATCTGTCATTGTGTCAACTGGCATGGTTTTGATTCCCTGGTTGTAGTTGGCAAGGAGTAGGGTCATCTGTCCAACCTCATAGGTTTTCTATGGTTCCTCTCTCTCTCTCTCTCTCATGACAAAAATCAAAATTATTTATATAAATCTTATTATATTCTTCAGGGGCACCAACTGGTGAGAGGTTAAAGACCAACAATGATCATTGGCAGCTTCATGCTTTGTATTACCCCCCTTTACTGAGGTCAGCGACAGTTAAAAAGTTTATGGTAGGATATGAAATGCTAGCACAATGTCAGCGAGATCTGACAGCCGAACAAGCAGCAGAAAAACTTTGCAATCTTTCTGATGTTCATTATAAAACAAAGAGTTAACAAAGAAACAATTTTAGGAGTACCTGTACATCTGATAAAATATTTTAGGGATGCAGCCTTTTCATTGGTTGAAGGTAAAAATCCCAGTACAAGCCCTAAGCCAATGAAAATGTGTCATTCTTAAAATACTTTAGATTAAGTTTTTTTTCATAAGGTGTCAGGACTCAAACTTTGCTTGAATAGAAGAAACATGTTAACTGTCTGCATAAATAATATGTTGGTATCAGTATTTAGCTAATTGAAGGAATTTTTAAATTTTGGATTGTTCGATGTATAGTGAGAGAGGAATATACTCTTATAAACTTTATGAGATTAGATCTGCCTGTTTGTAATTTTGAATCTGAATATGGAATTGTCTCCTTTACACACTATCTAAGTCAGTTTAGAAAATGTCTATTTTAGAATGATGTTTCAGTTTGTTTTGTTTTTTAAAGCAAATTTTTAGAGTTATAATATATAAATTAAAATATATATATAAGTTTCATATATGAAATATATGAAATTTACGGTTTGGTGATATTTACATCATTGTTGTGACTGTATAAGTATAGATATTTTATATGAGGTCGATCTCATTATAAATGAGTTGTTTATTGACACCTTTACACACTATCTAAGTCAGTTTAGAAAATGTCTATTTTAGAATGATGTTTCAGTTTGTTTTGTTTTTTAAAGCAAATTTTTAGAGTTATAATATATAAATTAAAATATATATATAAGTTTCATATATGAAATATATGAAATTTACGGTTTGGTGATATTTACATCATTGTTGTGACTGTATAAGTATAGATATTTTATATGAGGTCGATCTCATTATAAATGAGTTGTTTATTGACACCAGAAGATAATAAATTATAACTACTTGTTGTGCCATAAGAATCAGTCTTTATTATTTGTTATGTAGAATTTACATCTCCTATATTTAGATAATAATAGAGAAGTTGTATCTTATATACTACTCGCCATCAAAGGCTTTTTATGCATCAATAATAACAATCTTAATGATTTTGGTAAGGGAAGCATAACACTGAAATTTCGGTATTATTTTCCAATCCAAAGCAATCCCCGAAAAAAATAATCGATGCCACTGGGAATACCGAGGACTAATATACCGAATTCGGCAAAATCAAATGAGTACGCCATCGGGTATTTCATATATGATTTTTATACGCCCACATTTTCATGTGGACGTATATGTCTTCGCCCCTGTCCGTCCGGACGTCCGTATGTCTGGACGTCCGTCCGTCCATCCTTCCATCCACAATTGTTTGTGGACTCTCTACAGGTCACAATTCTTATCCGATTTTGACGAAACTTTAAATATAAGTTAATCCCCAAAATATCTCGGCTACTTTCGATATTGGCATGTATCGGATCAAAACTTCATGGATTATGGCCCCTGTTTGTACGAAAAATCACGTTTTTAGCTTGTGGACCCTATAGAGGTCACACTTTTTATCCGATTTTGTTGAAACTTGAAATGTAAGTTTATAACACAAAGATCTCGGTTCCGTTCGATATTCGCGCATATCGGACCGTAACTTCCTGAATTATGGCCCTTGATTGTACGAAAAATCACGTTTTTAGCTTGTGGACCCTATGGAGGTCATAATTTTTATCCGATTTCAAAAATCGTATTATTATATCACCGTTACACCCTAAAGACGTCTGAGTTCGAATTTCGTGAAAATCGGCCCAAAACTGACAGACAAAATGGCCGCCCTTCGTTCTCAAATAGCGTAAAAAATATGGTATATCAAGGCTGTGGACCCTATAGAGGTCACAATTTTTATCCGATTTTGTTGAAACTTAAAATGTAACTTTATAACCCAAAGATCTCGGTTCCTTTCGATATTCACGCATATTGGACCGTAACTGCCTGAATTATGGCCCCTGATTGTACGAAAAATCGCGTTTTTAGCTTGTGGACCCTATAGAGGTCACAATTTTTATCCGATTTAAAAAAAACGTATTATAATATCACCGTTACACCCTAAGGACGGCTGAGTTCGAATTTCGTGAAAATCGGGCCAAAACTGATGGACAAAATGGCCGCCCTTCGTTCTCAAATAGCGTAAAAATATGGTATATCAAGGTTGTGGACCCTATAGAGGTCACAATTTTTATCCGATTTTGTTACAACACGAAATGTAAGTTTATAACCCAAAGATCTCGGTTTCTTTCGATATTCGTGTCCGTAACTTCCTGAATTATGGCCCCTGATTGTACGAAAAATCGCGTTTTTAGCTTGTGGACCCTATAGAGGTCTTAATTTTTATCCGATTTAAAAAATCGTATTATATCACCGTTACACCCTAAGGACGGCTGAGTTCGAATTTCGTGAAAATCGGCCCAGAACTGACAGACAAAATGGCCGCCCTTCATTCTCAAATAGTGTAAAAATATGGTATATCAAGGTTGTGGACCCAATAGAGGTCGCGATGTTTATCCGATTTTGTTGAAACTTGAAATGTAAGTTTATAACCCGAAGATCTCGGTTCCTTACAATATTCGCGCATATCGGACTGTAACTTCCTGAATTATGGCCCCTGATTGTACGAAAAATTGCGTTTTTAGCTATAGAGGTCATAATTTTTATCTGATTTTAAAAAAACGTATTATTATATCACTGTTACACACTAAGGACGGCTGAGTTCGAATTTCGTGAAAATCGGCCCAAAACTGACAGACAAAATGGCCTCCCTTCGTTCTCAAATAGCCTAAAAATATGGTATATCAAGGTTGTGGACCCTAATTTTTATCTGATTTTGTTGAAACTTGAAATGTAAGTTTATAACGCAAAGATCTCAGTTCCTTTCGAAATTTGCCCATATCGAATTGTAATTTCCTGAATTATGGCCCTTGATTGTAGGAAAAATCACTTTCTTTTTAGCTTGTTCTCTATCCATCTCTCGAAAATGTTGACGTATCCTGCCTGGCAGCCGCTGGTTAGAATTAATGTTTGAGAATTGAGAAAAGGATTCCAGTGTGTGTTACCCACGGTTCTTAATCCATTTTGAAATGAACCGGCCAGAATTGGGTCAAATGCGGTCCCGTAGGAAATGGGTTAATTATAAGCTTCCATTCCCTTTAATATAATTAGACTTCAACAAAAATAATTGTTGGTAATTTGTTATGGAGATCATGTATTTTAATGTATGTGATTACCACAAAAATAACGACATATTTAATTCACGTACCAGCTTGAAGTTCACGTCAGTAATATTCCAGAATAAATTACTGTCATCGTTTATTGGATGAAACGTTCGCGTTTCATAAGTTGATGATCTAAAATATTAGCATTTTTCTACTATTGCCAGTATCAGAATATGCCGTTACCTGATAAAACGAAAAATCACGTTTTTAGCCCGTGGACACTCTAGAGGTCACAATTTTGATCCGATTATGATGAAATGTATGTTTATAACCTACAAATCTTAGTTCCCTTCAACATTCGCACAAATCGAATTGTAAATTCCTGGATTATGGCCCCAGATTGTACGAAAAATCGTGTTTTTAACTTGTCGGTGAAGTGTCAAAAGGGTTATCTCGGTAAATTAGTCAAATACACTTTTTTGCATTTTTAAACTCTCCCAATTAATATGCACATTTCTGTCTAAGCTGTGTGTCTCTACGCCAATTAGAACTGTTATGGGTATCATGTGTCCAAATGTTGTATCTTGGTTTGTGGAAATTTTGAAATGCAAAAGGTTCTATTTCTTAATCTTTAGAAATTCTTAGATACACCCTTTTGACACTTCACCGACGTTGTGGTCCCTCCAGAGGTCACAATTTTTATCCGATTAAAAAAAAACAACAAAAAACCCCGTTAAAATATATCACCGTTACATCCTAAAGATTGATAGTTCGAATTTCGTAAAAATCGGACCGAAACTGCAGGACAAAATGGCCGCTCCTCGCACGGAAATAGTGTAAAAGAATGGTATATCAAGGTTGTGGCCCCTTTAGATTTTCATGAAACTTTAAATTTAATTTTATATCACAAGATCTAGATTCCTTTCAATAATGCGGTATATCGGAACGTAATGTCCTGGATTGTGGCCCCTGATTGTTCGAAAATTCACGTTTTTAGCTTGTAGACCATGTGTATTAAATTTTAAAAACCGTTACAACTCAAAGAAGGGTGAGTTCGAATTTCGTAAAATTCCGACCGAAAATGCCAGACAAAATGGCCGCACCTTGTGTAAAAGTACGTAATACCAAGGTTGTTGACAATCTAGAAATCACAAATTTTTATCCGATTTTGATGAAACTTGAAATGTATGTGTATAACATAAGGATCTCGGTTCATTTCGATATTCGTGCATATCAAAAATCATGTCTTTTAGCTTGTGAATCCTTTAGACGTCACAATTTTTATCCGCTTTAAAAAGAAAACAAAAACAAACAAAAACGTTTGAACATATCACCGTTAGACCCTAATGATGGATGAGTTCGAATTTCGTAAAAATCGGACCGAAACTGTCCGAAAAAAATTGCTGTTACTTGTTCGCAAATAATTTAAAAGTATGTAGGCTAATACCAAGGTTGTGGCACCTCGGGAAGTCACAATTTTGATCTGATCTTGATGAAATTTGAAATATATGTTTATATCCAAAAGATAACAGTGCCTTTCGATATTCGTGCATACCGAATCGTATCTTCTTGGATTATGGCCCCGGAAATCGCATTTCTTTTTAACTTGTTATCTGCCCATCTATTGCAAAATGTTAAATGACAACCGCTGGTTTAAACACTTGAAGGAAATGTGTTAGGAACGATCACTTCAGAGGCAGTGCACGCATCATTTGCGTACGGACATTCTGATTTAGAAAAATGAGATGAAGAATCCCATTGATTTTAGATCATTAATTTTGCTTTTAGTCTAGAGGCTAAAGTTAGTATCCCATTGATTTGAAGAAGTCTAACATATCTCTATTCCGATAATGACTTCTTGGATTGTTGCCCATAATAAATTTTAGTGTTTTGTACAAAAGATTCGAAATATGATCTTTTTGTACTACTGCTATCCTCTCTGTTAAACTTGAGCCTCTAATATTATTTCATATGAAGAGTGATTTTTTCGGATGAGATTTGGTGCGTGAATTCTTGTAAAGGGCTCTTTACATGCATAGATACGGCAACAAAATATAATTTGTGTGGAATCTCTATTTATTTAATGTAAATAAATTGATATCAAACATTTTCTGTTTGTGTGACTCTTTGACTGGACTGTTTTCAAACTGTTTTTTTTTTATTTATAGATAGGAATAACAACACACCGTTCCCATATCTGTTCCTACCCACAAACGGCCTTTATGATCAATATTTAAGGCTACGGGTGATCCGATATCTTGAAAATGCTCTCTGTTCAGTAAGTTAACGAGAAATACACCGTCGTCTGTGATCAGCTGAACATTATTTCTGTTGCCGTCTGCTACGAGAACATAACCCTGAGAATCAAAAATGGCGGCTCTAGGAGAAAGATGACCATCATGTCCTAGATATTCGTTGATGATATCACCATTTTGATTCAGAAACTGAACACGGGAACGGTTTACATCGCAAACGCATATGTCACCCCTGGGGCTTGTTGTTAGACAAGAAATGGAAGCTGTTGATACTCCAGAACTTACGGATAGATTTAGGTGGTATTTCATCTTTCCATCACCACCATACAATACAATTTTTTGAGCATCTCCTCTAGTTCCAGCGAGAGTAACATACACTCTCTGTGAATCATTTGTCGTAGCCATGTGAGAAACGGTATCTGCTGCAGAGGCGAAATTGTGCCAAATATCCTTGTACAATAGCTTTATATTTTTGCCTCTACTGAAGGCTACCAGAAGCTTGCCGCCAGGTCCAGTAGCTATGGTGGTTATATCCGAGGTTGAAGTAAGCTGTACATTTGTTCGCTTGAAGCCGTCCATACCTACGCGCACCAGTGACCTGGACGTGGCTACCCAGATAATACCATCCGCTTCCACAATGCCTCTTATAGATGGTCGGCTACTCCTTGCCTCAAAAATGTTGAAGATGCATTCTCGCCTCAATATTATGTCATGGATAGCACCTATTGACGAACCCGCTGCAGGTGATTTGATTACTGCCAATGAAATGTCCCCTATCATATTATCCGCACTGGTCTTGTTATACTTTGGATTTCTGGAAATAAAGAACTCAGCCATACCAAGTTGTTGAGCACTTTCAAAGTCAAACAAATGCTGGTATAAGTTTTCCTTCAAACTGTCTTTACTCAGAAGTAACTCGATGTTGGTTGCACTGAGAATGCTCTTCTCTGAATTGCGAATGACAGTGTCGGCTGCTTCAATCTTATTCTCTAAATCATTAGCAAACATGTCTATACGGGCGTATTCTGCATCTTGAATTTTGGATAATCGTTGATTTAGCTCACTATAGGAGTTGTTTAGACGTGTGGACATTTCTTGGTAAATGTGCCGCATCAAGTCCGACATTTCTCCAAACTTGGCGTCAATGTTTGCTTTGTACTCACTAACCGCTTCACGATCCTGCGAAACATTTAGTTTTCGTAGTTTGATGTCGCCAACAACCTTGACTAAATCTTGGCGAATATCTTCAGCAGCATCATCGATGTCAGTGGTGATATGGTTCTTGTGATTTGTCAACAGACAATCTCGACAAATGGTCGTCAGACAATTATTGCAATAAAACTTCAAAGGCTCACCCCGATGTTTCCGACAAACAATTGGATATGTTCGTTCTTTGGTTGCTCGCAGAGAATAGGTACGTTGCCTCAACTGAATAACTTCAGAGTCTTCTAATTCCTTGAAATCGACCAGTGGTATGATTTTGTGATCGGAAGTGACTTTCAGTTTTATGTGTCTAACAATGCAACCATCACATAGGTATTCGTTACACTGCTCACACCTTCCTTCAGCACGCTCTCCGATCTCACACAGACCACACATTAAAGTTTTAGTTCTTTCGTCATCCGTAGCGTTACGACTTCTATTTTTGTGATGACTTAAAAGGTCATCAGATTGATCACAAGTAAAAGACCCAACGGAGTTTAACTGCCTAGCCATTGTTGTTAAATGAAATTGTAAGAGGTTATCAGATAAAAATGAAGGGCTATTAAGATATCAGTTTAAATATATCATCGTTATTGTATTACCACCTGTATATATCATGAGGTGTTATGTTCATATTACTTATCATAATAAGATATGAAAGGAGTGTTGTGATAAAGTTTTTAACATCATCAATCAGTTAATGCAATATCCCATCGGGGGCAACACTATGGAAGCGTATAGGGGTCAGTAGCGCGATAGATACCGCAATATAAAACATACATTATGCAAGAGCTAAATCTGTCTATTGCGTTATATGTCGTTATTTCGTTTTAAATATGCACGTTTTTGCGTTAAGATATTGCTATTCTCAAGCTTTGTCGACATCCATTTCGCCGTAGTATATATATCGACATGTTCGCAAAATATCGCCATACGCTATGTCGACGTGTGCATTTAAAACGAAATGACGATATACAACATAGGGAGTTATTCAATTAACTCTGCTAATATTTCTTTTCAAAGATAAAATCATCAGACGAATCACAATATGTTCAGATATTACCAACATTCTAATCCGACGCCCTTGTCAGTTTTAATTCGATATAAAGTAGGCCATAGTGCCGCTGCCCGGTCAAAATTTGCCTCATAGCCCAGAACAGTAGGACGTTAAAACCAATTTCATTCCATTTCATTTCTAATCCGACGTGCGTTGTGTGTGTGAGTGTGTGTTTGCATATAGTTACTTGTCAGCACACCAACCATGTGGGGACCCTTTTCATTGTGAGGACCTGCGTACAAATGGTGTTAATGTAACATGTCACCTCTTTTTTGTTTAATAATAATGTTCATCAACTAATACATATGTTTGTATTTATAAACGTCCGCTTGGAGATGGGTATACCACTCGCTATGATAGTTACAAAATAGATAATGAAAAGGGGGTATGCTGAAAATTTCAGTCAAATTACTTCACTATGAACCGAGAAATCTTAGTTACAATAACAATAGCCTCAATTGTCATTGCTGCCGTTACGATAATAAACAAAATCTCGATTGTCGATTTTACAGTAAATCATCAACGGCCGTTGAATCGCAAGTTTAAATCTGTTGAAATTCTAGACTTAACGATAGCATCGAGAATGGATTATGGTCATGGTATGGCAATTAATGATTTGTATTACATTAAAAATTAAGTCACAAAGAAAGGCCTGCAAATGGGCAGATTATTTTAATTAATTTAATAATGTTACGGTTGATTTCGCCTCACCACTATAGCGTACTGGTTCCATGAATTTGGAGAAATGTTTTTGAAAATGTTTTGCAAGATTTGTATTTGATGATTCGTTTGGAAATTTGTTGTTCGAGATTTACTTGGTACTGCCTTCCACCCATTTTATTTATATATTTGATTGTCTCATAAAAAAAATCGTTAAACAGATTCCAAATATAACTTTCTAAAGTATAAAAATATTTGCTATGAGATGTCTGTAGCAATAGTTTGACGGTTTTGAGCTCAGTTGTTCTTACGAAGTGGAGATAAGATGAAAATTGTGGGATTAAATCTAGGATTCGTAGGTGTGATTAACCCGCTTATAACCAATTATCTCTGACCAGAAAGGAAGAAAACGAGTTTTAAGGAATAATTAATACTCTTGTATCAAATACAAATAAGTGATGTATTTTATATGTAACAGGTATAAGAAAGGGTTGCACAGTGCAGTAACGCACACGTGTGTGTCATGAAGAATAGATAAGAAGGGCATTCACCTGGAGGAGGTGGGCGCGGTGGGGTGGGGGTCTAATGCAACGCCTGTCTTTTAAATCGTAAAGTCTGCCATTGAGTCAAGTAGCCTGGAATTGAACGCACACTTGTACGTGACAAAGAATAGGTTCGCGTGCGTAACTTTGTGGGTCTTCTCCGGATCAAAACGATTTCCTACCACTGTTAACGACTTCTACGATCAAGACATTTATTAAAATAAAATTGTACTCTATGTTAGTCCCGAAATGACCTGGTCTGAGTGGAGTAGACGTTAAGCCATCTCACTCTCTCTTTGGGGATCACGTGGCTAAGTGGGTAAGACGCTGGCTCGCTAGCCTGGAAGTCGGGTGTTCGATCCCGGCGTGGTTTCTCCTTGTCAGTGATGCAGGACGGAGGGCCTGGCAAGGACAGCTGTCTAGTCCTTCGGATGAGACGAAAAACCGAGGTGCCGTGTATACATTGGAATGCACGTAAAAGATCCCTTGGCAGTTGGAATTCGATATAAGAGTAAGCGATAGTGCCGCTGTCCGGGGCAAAATTTCCCTCATAGCACACTGTATGGCGTATGTCCGTCTTCATTAGCCCAGCATAGGAGCAGAACAGTAGGACGTTAAACCTCATTTCATTTCATTTCATTTCATTTCTCACTCTCTCTCTCTCCCCCCTCTCTCTCTGATGATAACTGTAGTTACCCCCCTTACATCATTGTGTAACCTAGGATCACGACACACGGCATTCTGAGAGATAATATTGAAAACCATGGTTTGTCAGTTTTTCTAACAGTTATTACTTTCTCTCGTCCACAAAGTATAACAAATTTATTTAAAAATTTCTTAAACTTTAGGTCATATTATATTGATATCAAAATTTGCAAAGGTACTCTCCCAATCGCGTTCTTTGATAAGGGCATTTAGTCTACTATAATCACCTTCTATATATACAAACATTTCTGGGAGTTGAGATATGAAAATCAAGCAATGCATAAACATCCTATTGATCTGATAGGCCAGGAGTGACATCAGTCAGAGGCGGATTCAAGGGGGGGGGGGCGCCTCCCTAATTTTCGACAGTGCCCTTTTTTACTGCTGAAAGTGCCTTTTTTCAGACCCAAATATGTTCGTTCCCAACCCGTTGCAGGGATCCCAAATGACTCAAACCATCGATTCAAACACATCAGTCTGGTCTAATTAATGCTTCCACTTTCAAACGAATTCTTGTTGTTTAGCTGACGGTGCCCTAATCCTATAGAGTGACTTAGACAGACATCTTGTGGAATCGGCGGCGTATACACTCATGTCCATCACCGACGCGCATGAGTGCAACTTGATGTAGTATTGTTTCATGTGTGGGCAGTACAAAGTACAAGTTACAAGGCTTAAATAGTGAA